ACTCTGTGTGTTCCCTGTGTGTACTCCCCTCACCCAGTCCCAAATCCTGCTGCTTCTTGCCATAGGTGCTTTGATAGCCAAGGCTCAGAATTCCTCATCTCTGAGCTTTCTGGTCACTGGATTAAGTTTATCAGGGATTCAAACGTCTTTTGGGTATGGGCAATGATAAAGTCTATTGTTTTAATTGCTAAACTTTTACTAAGATATAAACCTTATCTCTGTAAGACCATTATATGAGCTTTCTGTGCCTCAGAATTTATAAGATTATTGGGTATGGTTAAAAATCTATAGAATCTGCAGCAAAGATTGACTTAAAACTTACAACACAAGGTTAATAATTAGAAGGCTACATCGGTAATCTTAAAACAGACCTAACCCACCAATGTCTATAGTTTTGGGCAAATATTCAAATGTATTAACCTTGCTTTTAACCTCTGTAGTTGTGCTTCTGATTGTTTTCTTAACTGAAATATGTCAACCCCTAATATGGTTTTTAAGCTCACCCTGAGAAAGGTTCAAGGCTATACTGGCATCCTAAACACCCATTATTGTCACCAGCCAATTAAATTTAGGGCCACAACTACTAAACACCAGAAACTGGGATATTTCTATCTTATGATGCAGCAATACCTAAGCAGTCTGACAAAAATCCTATAAAATGTCTCTCCCTTATCTAAGATCTCTTCGAGCTAATAGAGACTGATTTAGAAATGCACATCTAGCCTTAGTTATTTTGATAAAGTGAGTCATATAAGACGCTATGATATTCTGCAATGGTGTACTATAAAAGGACCAGGAGAGTAAAGCTGACAGTCTCCCTATGGACTGTAGTTATGATTTAAAGTTTTATTTTGATACTAAACAAGCTTCAATTAAAAATTGTAATGTTTAAGGTTAAATTTAACAGGGATGCTGGGCATTGGTGGCGCATGCCTTTAATCCCAGCACTCGGGAGGCAGAGGTGGATAACTGTGAGTTCAAAGCCGGCCTGGTCTCCAGAGAGAGTGCCAAGATAGGCTCCAAGGCTACACAGAGAAACCCTGTCTTGAAAAACCAAAAGAAAAAAAATTAACAGGGATAAAACTGTAGAATACTAATCTTATAAAAAGCTACTAACTTGTAGCTACAGACTTGTTAAAGATAATTAAGACATGCAGATTAATAAATGATCACCTTATAAATAATCAAATTCTTTACAAACATAACTCATTTGCAGGGGCAAGCTTTATTTAGCCTCCTATATATGTTTTCAAGGTTAAACCTAGCACAAATAACGAAAAACAAGGTTTATTTAAAACTTGGTATATTTAATAGACAGCTGACAGAACTTTTCAGAGATCTGCTGAATATGACATTTAAAATGTTTAATGTCAAAAGCTTACTATGACAGACAGAGATTCCAACTCGCAGCAGCAACCCTGAGGTATCCAGAGAAGATGATGGGACACAACTCCACCTGGATTGTGGTAAGGTTAAGCACTGGGAAGAACTGCCCCTTGCCTCACCTGCTACCCAGGCTCTCTCCTCACTCTACAAACACTGGTGGGTTGACCGCTCTGCTCTGCCTGGTCAAAGTAAGGTCAGTCCCTCGGCTTCCTCCTGGATCCGGCAGCCACAGGCCAATGCTGTCCTGCATCGTAGCTGTCCTGTATGACAAAGACCTACAATCATTGCCCCCAATGAAGCCATCAAGACCTCCGGAGCAGCCATCTAGGTAATGGGTAAGCTTCTTTCATTTTAATTGATATGTAAGCCATTCAGATTATACTTCCTGCTATAATTTATCTTTCTCAGATCTCTGGTTGTGTTGATGGATAACTAGAACTTCATCACTTTGGCAGCAGATGCCTGGTCAATGTGTTTCACATTTAAAAACTGGCCTTACTTTTCTAGAGCTATGAGGTCACCTGATAAACAAGTCAAATGCACAGACCACTCCATATTAAAGGATAAACAGGTTTCAGATGTCACTTTTAACATTTAAGGAACTTGCTTTGCAAATATTGAAGCAGGGCGTGGTGGCACCTTTAATCTCAGCACTTGGGAGGCAGAGGCAGGCAGATCTCTGTGAGTTTGAGGTTAGCCTGGTCTACAAAGTGAGTTCCAGGACTCTGTTACACAGAGAAACAGTCAGAACCCCCCCCCCAAAACAAAAACAAACAAACAAACAAACAAACAAAAACCAAAACAATGGTATTGTAAGCTCCAAAGAGGGGGAAAAAAAGGACTTGGATCCACCTCTCACAGGTCAGATGGACTCCAGTTAAGTACTCCTGTCAGTCAACAGCCTAAGCTTCCCTACCTATTGTCTATTACTGTGGTGGGGGTTTGGGGGGAGTGGGGTTCCAAATATAAACGTTTCCTTTAAGTTCTTTTACTTTAACTTCTGTCCCTAGTGTGTATCTGTCTTGGCAGAGTTTCACTAAGCTGATAGACACCATCCAGAAATCAACTGTGGACTACAAACTGCTCCAATGACCCAAATCACTATAGCCTATAAAACTGGAAAGCCCTAGACTTGCTAAAAGCTGATGTAGACCAGTCTACTTGATTTAATTGCTCCCTGTCTCTTCAGCTGGGCCAGCAAACCAGATGCTTCTGATGAATACCCCATTGCCCAAATCCCCTCTGGTCTTTGGCTAACATTCCAACCTTGCTGTCATCCTAATTTCATCAGGAGGTAGTTACAGAGGAAAATATATCACCCCTTGTCTTCAACAAAGAGCTTGAATATTAGGAAATTCACTGGCAAAGGGGACAAAATGGCTACCTATAGGTATACCAAGATTATATGGCCTTAAAATATTTGTTGTATTTATGCCAACCAAACAGGTACAATTTATAAATAAGCAATGCATCTTTTGATGCATTACAAATTTTGTTCCCTCTCCCTGCCTCAGATAAAGAATGCTTAGACCCTATCAAGGGTTTGCCAAGGACACATAAGACATGAAGAAAGTCTGTCTCCATCTTAGGCTAAAAAAGCCATTTTATAGCAAAGACAAACGAGGTTCATTCCTGTTTATAATTAAGCCTCTGTCTCTCAAAGCTTGGGCTATGTCACACCTGTAACTTTTTTTTATATGTAGTTTCCCAAGACAGGGTTTCTCTGTGTAGCCTTGGCTATTCCAGACTTTCACTCTTTAGACCAGGTTGGCTTTAAACTCACAGAGATTCCCCCTGTCTTTGCCTCCCAAATGCTGGGATTAAAGGAGTGTGCCACCACTGCCTGGCTCTTTCCTGTCTTCTTAAAAACTTTTTTGTTTGTTGGTTGGTTGGTTGATTTGTTTTTGGAGGTAAGAGTTTCTCTGTGTAACAACCCTGGCTGTTCTGGAACTCTTTGTAGACCAGGATGGCCTTGCATTCATAGAAATCCACCTGCCTCTGCCTCCCAAGTACTGGGATTAAAGGTGTGCACCACTTCCGGTCAAAATTAGAATTTATCTTTTAAATTTTTGTGTTACATTTTTATTTAGTGTGTGTATATATGTGTGTCATGGCACAAAAGTAGAGGCCAGAGGACAACATGCAGGACTCAATTCTCCCCTTCTGTTATGTGGCTCTCAGGGATTGAACTTACATCATCAGGCTTGGTGGCAGGAACCTTTACCCACTGAACCATCTTTCTGGACTTAACAAAATCCACAAAGGGCTGAGCTCCTGAAGTACAGTGGAAATGAGGGAGGAGCAAAAATATGAACAAAGGAGTCAAGACCATGATGGGGAAACCCACAGAATCAGCTGACCTAAGCTAGTGAAAGATCACTGACTCTGGTCTGACAACTCAGGAACCTGTATAAGAGTGAACTAGGCAGGGCATTAGTGGCACATGCCTTTAATCCCAGCACTGGGGAGGCAGAGGCAGGCGTATCTCTGTGAGTTCTAGACCAGCCTGGTCTACAAGAGCTAGTTCCAGGACAGCCTCCAAAGCCATAGAGAAACCCTGTCTCCAAAAACCAAAAAATAAAAAAAATAAAATAAAAAAGACTGAACTGGACTCCCTGAACACAGGTGACAATGGTGCAGCTTGGGCAATATATGAGGCCACTGGCAATAGGTCCAAGATCTAACTCTAATGCACAAACTGACTTTGTGGAGCCCATTCTATATGGAGAGATACCTTGCTCAGCCTAGACACAGAGGTGTGGGGGGGTGGGGAGGTGCCTTGGTCCTGCCTCAACAGACTTAGTAGACTTCCTAGGGGAGGCCTTACCTTACTGAGGAGCAGATGGGAGCTAGAGTGGGGGAAGCAGGAGGAGAGGAGGGAGGGGAACTGGGATTGGAATGTAAATAATCTTTTAAAAATGATTTTTTAAATTATTTATTAATTTTTGAGACAGAGTCTCTCCATCAGGCCTAGGCTGTGATGGAATTTTTTCTGCTGGGATAGACTGGCTTCAAACTCACACAGAGTTCTGCCTTTCAAGTGCTAGGATAAAGATGTGTACCACTCTACGTCCAACTTAAAGATTTAATATTCACGTGTGTTTCTGCATATGTTGTGGGTGTCCTCTGAGGCTGGAAAATGTCAGTTCCTCTGAAGCTAGAGTTATAGGCAATTGTGAACTCTAGGTATCAAACCCAGGACAAGTCTCAGTATTTCTCATCCTGTCCCCTACTCTAAACTGTCCCATTCAGGGAGGGACTGGACTTCCCTTCTCCCAGCCTGATCCGTATATAATGCAGCTATTTTGGCTATCCAGTCTCTCGGTCTGGGACACCTTTCATGGTCATTAATTGCCTATAGCTCCTAAATATCAATTTCTGTAAGTCAGAAAGTGGCCTTGGCCGGGCGTTGGTGGCGGACACCTTTAATCCCAGCACTTGGGAGGCAGAGGCAGGCGGATCTCTGTTAGTTCGAGGCCAGTCTGGTCTCCAGAGGGAGTGCCAGGATAGGCTCCAAAGCTACACAGAGAAACCCTGTCTTGGAAAAAAAGTACCTTGAAGGAGGGACACCGATTTTCAAGTGGAAAGAAGTTAGGGAGTAGGAGACCTAAAGGGAAGGCTAATGGTGAATGTTTGCATGTTAGTGAACAGTTTGAGATAGGGTCTGACTGTAGTTCATAGTGGCTTGGCCTATGTAGCCCAGACTGGCCTCAAACTCATGGCCATCCTCTGGCCTAAGGCCCAGAGCACAGGAATTATAAGTATGAGCCACCATAGAAGTTTCGAAGTATCAAGTATTGAAAGAAAGGCAGGGCAGCTTTGAACGGGAAGCACACATGGATGTGACCGGTTAGAGCTTTGGCTCCAACAGCTTGTTTTTGCCTACTTTGAAATGTCAAACTTCAGGAAAGGCGTAAAGACCCCTTTCCCTGTCAGAGCACTGTTTCCCTTTCACATCGACTCCCAGACTGCAAACAACACACCCCTGCAGCACCATTTCTTGAAAATCATCTTCCTCAATGAACCGTGGAGCCCAAACAAACACCTCACCCTAAACCCGGTGTTTTTTGTTTTGTTTGAGACAAGGTCTCACTGTGTAGCCAAAGCTATCCTGGAGTTGGTTAGTTTAGGCTGACCTGGCTAATCCGGCTGCCCAAACTCTGGGATTAAAGACATGAGCCATCATGCTCGGCTGAGCCTCATCCCACTTGACGCCTCAGTTACTCGTTAGACTTGTCGCACTCCCAAGCCTAGATTTCCCTGACAAGCCGGTGTAACAGGACGAACTCCCCTCCAAAACCCTGAGAGCCTCAGATCCCTAGCATTAAACCGAGTAGGGTTCCGTTGCAGTCGCGGATCGTTCAGAGAGGAAGGGGCGTGGTCCTGAGCGGAAGAGCAAGGCCACAGAATGGAAGTAGTCGGAACCCAGAGGCTGCCGGAACCCGGAACCAGTGAGAACGTGGGACTAACCGGAGCCCGGAAGTGCGGACTAACACTGCGGCTGTTCCGGAAGCTCGCGTCTAAGCATGGCTTTGGGAGGAAAGGAACCCAAAAGAAAGAAGGGCCAGGAGCGGAGGTGAGTGGTGCGCGGTGTTGGTGAAGGTGCAGGGTGGCGAGTGGCTTGCGGCGTGGCTGAGAATGTGCCTGTGTTTGCAGACAGAGCCCCGAAGATGGCGTGGGGAATGCGGCCTCCGAATACTTGGTGGGACAGGTTGCCGACAGCCTGCGGGGCGGCCAGCGCCCTCCTGGAGGCGGGACGGGGCGACTGGCCGCTCTCTTCAGCACCGCGGAGCCACGCGCCCCACCTGTGTTTGTGCCTGTGCCCCAGGTGAGTCGCCGGGCTGCGTTTTGAATATCTTTTTAGAACTAGGTTTAGAGGGCAATTCGCCTGACAGCAGTAGCTGTCAGAGCCCAGAGCTGGGCGAGCACTTCACCGTCAGCCCTATTTATTGATTGGCAGGGTCGCTTGTAGCCTATTTAGGCCTCAAATTCTGTAAAGTACCCCAGGATGATCTTAAGCTCCGGATCCTCTTTCAGCTTCGTGAGTGCCGAGATTACAAGGCTGCTCCATCGTATCTGAGACAGGGTCCCACTAGTTGCCCAGGCCGATTCTTAGCACACACTGTAGCCCAGATGCCATACTCCTGCCTCAGCTTTCCACTGAAGAGCTGGTATCACAGGGGTGCATGACCGAGCCCATCAAATGTGGTTTCATGACTACTGTCAAGAATCCTCTGCTTCTCTCTATAACCAGTGAGGGAGAAGTATCAGTTTAGAAAGACACCACAGTAGAGTTTGACATATCAGGTATGACTTTAAACTGATATATCAAAACATCCTTTAAACTTTTGAAAGGAAACATCTAAAAAAAGAAAACATGAAGAAGAAGAAGAAGAAAGTACATCCCAGATTAAAAAGCCAGCTTTGCAAACACCTGCAAAAAAAGTGAAAGCGAAGAAACTCTCTGATGCAGACAAGAGACTGGCAAACAGGTTGGTGAAATTCTTCTTTTTACTGTGTTAAATATATCAGCCTATTCTAGGCTATATAGTGAGTTTGAGGCAGGCCTAGGCTGTATGAGACCAGACCCTTTTTTACAGCAAAACAAAAACAAAAAAAAGCAAAATAAGAATGCCTCAAACTGAAATCCTCCTGCATTAATGATACTTCACTTCTAGTTTGTTGCCTAAGCCAGTGCTCTCTCTCCCCTTTCCATGCAGAGCTCCTAGTTAATAAGCCTGGAAGCTCTTTTATTATTATTATTATTTTAATGAAAAGAGCAGTCTTACTATGTTTCTGTAAGCCAATCTGTTATATCTGAGCTTAAGATCCTCTTTCCTTAGCTTCTTGAGTCGTTGAGATAGACTGTTCTTTACTTCTCTTTACTCTTTAATTTTCTTTAGTCTGTCTTCTTTCCATCTCCATCCTTGCTCTGGCTGGCCTGATTTTTCTTGTGCTGTCATGACACTATCTTTTCTGTTTGCTCCTAAACACATTGCTTAGGAGCATGATTGACTTGGGCCTGCCTGTCTGTATGTGTTCCTGTCTGCTTTCCTTCCCTCCCTCCCTTTCTGTAGTGCTGGATATTGAACAAACAAAAACACATGCTAGGCAAAGTGCTTTGCTGAACTGTGTCCGTGGACTCAAATTAATTTTTGAAGTATAGCCCTACTATGTAGCTGAGGCCACTTCCAGTGCCCAGGTATGTATCACTCTGTCCAAGTGATCTTTTTGGGTAGTTAGTCATTGGTAGTTTCCTGTCTTCTAAAGGATAAAGTCAAGTGGTTTTGCATAACATGTTATTCTCACATCGACTGTCAGGTCCTGCCGACCTGTCTGGTCTGTACCTGAGAGGGAGAGTATGGATTGAGGAAAGAAACAGACTAGAGGCAGAAGGTAAAGTCATGAGGACATCCAGTGAATATTGGGATCTGCCTTAAGTTTGTTGCTCAAAATTCTTATATACCTCAACCAAAAGGGGGGGAAAGGAAAAAGACTACCATGGTACAAGGAACAAACAAATGTAATTACTTCCTTATTTCTCAAAACATCTAATAACCACACTTTAGATCAAAACTCTTGTTATCTGGCCTTGAGGATTAAGACATCTAGTTAACTACAAGTTAAATCAAATATTCTATTATCTATGTAAGACATCCAGTGGCCACACTGTAAGCCAAACATCTTTAAGTAGCCATACCTTAGACCTTTAGGTCTTAGGCCTTTAACTTGAAAGAGCATGGATAGGTTTGAACTCTCTGGCCTTAAGTCAAGTTGAAACAGAGTCACTTCTATGGGCCCCTTCATACCTTTTTTCTTGCCAGATGCATTAGACATTGAAGTGAACAGAATGCTAGACTTGGGCTCTTGATGGAACTTTTGATCTGATGGATATAAATGTAATAACAGTGATTATATTTATTAAAGACTATGGCAAAAACTTAGAAGCCTTTCTTGGTCTTCTGTTTCTCTTATGGTTCTATACCAGGTATTCTAGCTGTTGCCATGTGGCCATTGCCTGCTCCTTCATTACACTGCTAAAAAGCATTAAGTAGCACACTGGGAACTCAGCAGGTGTCCACTGGGAGCAAGGCATTGCATGGCTCCTGCTACCCATTCTTTCCTCTCACCTTAAGATCCCTCTTGCCAGTGTGACATCAGACCTTAGTGTCTTCGTGCACTGGTACCATCTGTTGTATTTACCATTTCAGAGCTTACTTTAGCATGCAGTCCTTCATCTGGAAAGTAATCTTAAAAGCAGGGACTCTGGTTTTCTCAGTGTACCAGATCCTGTTCTCAAGAGTGTTTGGTGGGCATATCAACCTTTCCAGATTCCTAGAGAATGTTGCAATCTCTCGGTCCTGGGGCAGAGAATGATAATAAATTAGGCATCAGCAGAATGTAAACTGAACCTCCAAGAGCTTTAAGTGGGCTGTCTTTTCTTTAGAATTTCTGTGCTACTGATGTTACAGACGGTATGTCTTCAAATATTGGACTTTTCTTAAATTCTTGAATTACAGAATTTGTTTTCTAAGGTATCAATCACCTTTTTAAAGATAATGCTGCTTTGACACTTGTAGATTTATGAGTGCTAAGCTTTATTTTGGGAAGCAGAAGCCAGCAGGAGGTGTTTGTACTGAGGAGGCAGGACTGGCTTTGACAAGTGCTGGTTTTCTTTGTTGTTTTGTTTTTGACTCTTTTCTTTGAATGTTTTTAAAAACAGGGAAAGTGCTCTAGCAAATGCTGATCTAGAGGAAGAGATTCATCAGGAGCAGGGGCAGGAAAGGAGAAAGTCTCAGTCTCATGGTAAAGCAGCAGGTGGAAAGGCACTTGGTGTTGCCCTCAGCCTCGATGGGGACCAAAGAACAAAAATCCCACCCAACCCTGAAGAAGAGCGGTTGAAAAATGAGAGGACTGTGTTTGTTGGCAATTTGCCTGTCACATGTAATAAGAAGGTGAGTGGGAGGGGTAGTATAAACCTGGAGACGTTATTGACTAAAATAACTTTTTTATTGAGTTAATAGTTGATAACTCATTGCAGTAGCTTCATTGTGCTTCCTAATCACCACACCTTAGGTGGGTTCTGGTGCCAATATCTCCTTGATTCTGTAGTCACAGTTTTAATGCAGGCTGTGTGTTTGTTTGTTGAGTGGTGCTGGGGCTTGGCTCTCACCCTATTTCAGGCTTCTGCCGTTTGAAATGACAGTGGCTTTTTCTGGCTTTTTTCTCTTTAGCTTCCTTCCTGTTAATGCCACTAGAATGTATATTTCTCTCTCTTCTTCAGTGTTCTATCTGGAACACATGAGAAGGTGCCTAACACATAGCATGGGCTCAATGAATGTTTGCTGTGTGGAAAAATGAGCACTTAGGTGCCTTTCATTCTGCAGCGTTCACTGAAGCCATACCTTTTGCCTTCTATGTACATGTGGTTGGTAGTCACTACATGAACAATGTTTAGGCCCAGGTCCTGCTCATCTTTGGAAGGATAGGTTTATATTCTCCTTCCTTAAAAACAAAGCAACCTTATTTTGTCCCCTAGTGTTTGATTTGTAAAGATATCATGTACTATCCTTTAAAAAAAAGTCTTCTTTTTAGGTTTGTTTAATGTGTATGAATATTTTGCCTTTGTTTATGTATGTGTGCTACATATATGTCTGGTGCCTGTGGAGGTCAGAAGAAGGCATCAGATCCCCTGGAAGTGGAGTAACAGATGATTGTGAGCTACCATTTGGGTGTTGGGAACCACACCCAGGTCCTTTGCAAGAGTAACAAGTGTTCTTAGCCACTGAGTTACTTCTCTAGTCCTCCCTTTTTTTTTTTGAGACAAGATCTCCTTACATCTTTACTCTTGCCTCTAACTCATGGCAGTCCTTCTGCCGCTACCTCCCAAGTACTAGGATGAGATACCATGTCCAGGTGTTTTTTTGTCAGTTTGGTATGGATCTCCCTATGAATCGCCCTATGTATCCTAGGCTCGCCTTTAGCTCTCAATCACCCTGCCTCAGCCTCCTGTATACATTTTGCTGTTGGTTATGGTCTTCCTTTTAGGTCATAAGAGCTTAGAGGAGAAGAATGTGCTATTATGGTGCTTTGCAAAAATATTCATACAGTAAATAGCTTTTTTTTTTAAATATAGATTTGTTTATTATGTTTATAGTGTCATGTCTGCATGTATATCTGCAGACCATAAGAGGGCACCAGATCTCATTACAGATGGTTGTGAGCCACCATGTGGTTGCTGGGAATTGAACTCAGAACTTCTGGAAGAGCAGTCATTGCTTTTAACAACTCTGAGCCATCTCTCCAGCACCAGTAAGTAGCTTTTTTTTTTTAACTAGAATTAGTTGCAGAAATTATTGTCCTACCCCTCAAAAATGTATGTTCTTCACATCTTGAAATAGTCAAAGACTAATGCCCCAAAATGACTGACTAGGATTCTCCTTACTGTTGTGTCTGAGTAAAACACGTGGAGAATTTCCCTATGGGACAGCATCATTAAAAGGCATGATACAAGTCTAACCTCAATTTAAGTGTCTTACAGATTATAAGCATTGAAACACTAGCATGCAGGTCATGAACGAATGCTAATGTGAACCTGAACCTTGTGTTTTTCTTCTTCCGAAGTAAAAATCTTCCTGTCTATCCAACTGAATAGTCACCACCACCCCCCCTTTTTTTTTTTTCCATGCTCTTTGGTTTTTAGACACTGGATGTAAGCACTAATCTTCTTGTCTCCACTTCATGTTCTAGTGCTGGGATATAGGGTAACAGGTGTATGCTACTACAGTTGGTTCTGGAATGTTCTTAAAGTATAGCAGTGAAGGGTGCTTAGACCATTCCCATTATTCCTTTTGTAACACAGATTTTCAGGGTATTAACTAACATGTATGTGTATATTGTTTATTTTAGAAGCTGAAGTCACTTTTTAAAGAGTATGGACAGATAGAATCTGTACGATTTCGTTCTGTGGTAAGTGTCCTCTCCCCCTGAAAAGTGGATGTCACTGTGCTTTATCTGTAAATCAAACCTGCTGGCCTCTTGGTGTCTAGTATCCATCCACTGCTGAGTCTGCACTTGGCAGGCTTGGTAGGTAACTGCATGAGTAAGGTGACATCTGTCACCAAGGCTAGCCCTGGGGTTTGGTGGGCAGTCAGATGATTGTATCTGCTGTCAGTAGAGTAGGCAGAAAGGTTGCTGCTCACCAAGCAGCGTCTCTTAAATTCCAGGCAGCCTGACTTGAGTTGTGTAGGCAGAATTTTTTGTCTGGACTGCCATCCTCAATAACCACAGTGATACTTATTAATTATAAATGCTCAGCCAGTAGCTTAGGCTTATTACTAGCTTTTACAACTTAAATTAACCCATATTTCTTATCTATGCTCTGCCACGTGGCGATACCTTTTTTCAGCATGGCAAGTTCATCTTGCTTTTCTCTGGGTCTCCTGGTCACTCCCTTGAATCCACCCTTCTTCCCAGCTGTTAGTATTCAGGCATCTTGTTCACTGTGCTCCCTTTTAAAAGAGCCCTGCCCACCTCCCATCCTTCTCTCTTTTTTTCTCTCCCTCTGTCTGTTCCCCTCTCCCTCTGCTTCTCCCTCTTTCTTTTCTCCTCTCTCTGCTGCTCCTGTCTCCGGAGGCCAGTCTCCCCACTTCCCTTTCCCCTTTTTATGATCCCTTTCCCTAATAACACCCCACCCCCAACTCACTTGAATCCTGTTGCATGGTGTTTCTCTCACCGCTTTTCTTAAATTACAACACCAGCATCCTCTCAATTTGGCTCTCCTGACTAACCTCTTTCTGCTTGTCTATTGGCCAGTCAGTTCTTTACTAATACAATCAGAAGATGTCTTGGCAAAAAGATTATTCCATAACAGTGTGGTGGGCAGGAGATGAGTGTGACTGTTGCAGGCATTGCTTAGGCACTTGTAGAAGTGATTGGTATCTACTTTAACCCTCAACCAGTTATGCTAATGTTCCCAGAGGATGAAACACACAGTAAAGTCTTATGTTTCTGCTCGTTTTGAGACAGTCTTACTACATGGCCCCTACTGTCCTGGAACTCACTAAAAAGACTAGGCTGGTCTAGAATTCACAGAAATCCACCAGCTTTTGCCTCCTGAGTGCTGGAATTAGTGGTGTGCATCATCACACCCAGTAGTGTGTTTTTGAACATTATTTTCAGTGTAATTAGCATGTACAGGTAGTGCTTACCTTGTTTCTAATTGCTCTTACATGATTCTCTAAGGGCTTCTCAGGGAATGCTTGCCTAGCATTTGTAGTTTCTCAGTCTCCACACCATTAAGGTGTGGGCTGGATGGTTTTGTTGCTGCTGCCTTGTGTGTTCTGGGATGTCCTGCCTCATCCCTGGGATTACCTACTAACTGCAGTCTTTCCCCACCCAACAAAGGCATCCCTGAAGGTTGCTAAAGTGTCCCATGAAAAAAACTACTGCTTCTTTAAAAGTAAACATTTTCACCCGGTGGTGGTAGTGCATACCTTTAATCCAGCGTTCGAGAGGCAGTGGTAGGCAGATCTCTCTGAGTTCAAGGCCAGCCTGATCTGCAGATTGAGTTCCAGGGCAGTTAAAGCTACACAGAGAAATTTTGTCTTGGAAAAAAACAGAAAAAAATGTAGACATTTTCTAAGATTTTGACAGTCCTCATCATTTTGGTTGATGTGTTCCTCTCCCCACTATTACCACCTGTTTTATCTTCTCTCTGAGCTCCATTTTCCAATATGAAGCTCTTACCTGACCCACTAACTAATTACAGGATGCCTGTGTTTACCCCCTGTAACACGAATTAATAAATGACCCAGACTTTGAATATTCTCGATGTTCTGATTCATTGATAATCAGGGCAGGCTAGACATTCGCTATAGTAAGACCATGCATGTGTCCCCAGATCTAGTTCTTTTCCTAGGTCTGGTTTTCTAAATGCTGGTGAAACGACCGGAAAAACAAAAATGAAAAATAAAATGACCCAGAGACTAATATTTGGGTTCAAACTTCAAGCTGAATATCAGAAAAGCAAAGCCACTTCTATAGCTGAGGCTGACTTTGCTTTTCTGACTCCTTAGTCAAGCTTTAATAAATCATAAATAATATATCATTACAACCTCCTGCAAGATGTGACATTACCTTTAACTCCTTTGGACCACCTGGCCTATTACTTGCTCTGCTTGCTTTTCACATGGGTATAGATGGAGTTTTCCTATCTTGGAAGCTCTTTCCAAATTATCTCACAGAGATTTAGTATTACTTATAAATGCTCAGCCAATAGCTCAGGCTTGTTACTAGCTAACTCTTACATTTAAATCAACCCATTCCTATTAATCTATGTATTGCTTGTGGCATTACCTGTCCATTAGCATCTCTTGCTCTCTTGGTGGCTGGCTGGTGGATCTATCCGATTCTTTCTCCCTGTATTTGTTGGATCACTCTGCCTATATGTTTTTGCTTGGCTATTGGCCAATCAGCTTTTATTAGCCAATGAGAGTAATACATATTCATAGTGTAGAAAGGATTGTTCACAGCACATGGGTTTTCCTTAATTGAGTCATTTTTTTTCTTTTCTACTTGGTCTATGTCTATTCGTGGCTTCTTTTTTAAATTTTTATTTTTATTAAGACTCTCTTTTTAAGATTTATTTTTATTTTATGTGTATTTATTAGTCGGTGTTTTGCCTTCAATTATGACTGCCATATGCATGCAGTGCTGTTAGAGGCCAGAAGAGGGCATCAGAGCCCCCGGAACTGACTGGAGTTGTAGGCAGTTGTTAGCTCTCGTTTTTTTGGTGTTAGGAGGCGTGCCTGGGTCCTCTAGAAAAGCACGGAGTGTTCTTTACCGCTGTGCCATCTCTGCAGGCACTTTATTTCCCCTTGTTAGGACAGCTGACTATGCTGTGCTTCCTCCCTTCAGTCTCCTTCCTTTATACAGCACCTCATGGGCTACTGGCATGTGTGGTGGCCCTGTGAGTTCCTCAGCCTCATTTTTCAGTGCAGCACTTACTGTCCTGAACTGAAGCTACTTGTTTTGACCTGTGTGACCCTTCCTGCAGCTGCTTCTTAGTAGCTTTGCTTTTTGCTGTGCTGCTGGTGTAGTGTGCCCTTGGTTCTCCTGGAGTGTTTTCCACAGGACCAAGATCAAGCTCATCCTCAACAACACACTGAGTTCATGGCTAGCCTGGGCTACAAGGATCCTGTCTAAAACAAATAAATAAGACTCCATGAATTTTGGGGCCCACTGGATATATAATCTCTTAGGTGCAAAGAAAATCACATTTCCTTGTTACCAATTTAGATGGGTTTTTTGTTTGTTTGTTTTTCAAGACAGGGTTTCTCTGTGTAGCTTTGGAGCCTATCCTGGCACTCGGTCTATAGGCCAGGCTGGCCTCGAACTCACAGAGATCTGCCTGCCTCTGCCTCCCTAGAGGCATGTGCCAACAATGCCCCACCCAATTTAGATGTTTTAGATTATTAGATTACATGGAATTAAAGTATGGTTTAATTTGTATATGTTGCCTCCCCCATTTACTTTATAAAACTGTTTTGTCATGTGTTTCCTGCCTCTTCGTTATCTTGGAGTCACCCTCCAAGTGAGTCAGAGTTTAACACCCATTTTCTGTACTTGTGCCTGTAGCTGTTGAGTTTGATGTTGTCTGTGGAATTCCTTTTTCTTAATCCTCATGGCATTGTGTCCCCACCCCCCTTTCCCCTCTTCTATTTTGAGATAGGGCTTTCTGTAACCTTGAACTCAAACTTACTGTGTAGCTGAGGGTAACTTTACATTCCTCGTCTTGTCTGGGGTGCTTGGATTATAGGTTTGTAGATGTGTGCCACAACTCTTGACTCGTAAGCATTAGGATAATTGTTTCTGATTCCATTGCCCTGAAGGGTTTTGAGTTACATGTGGTTGGAATATTTGGCTTTAACTAAAATGTAACTTATGTGGCTGGGGTCTAGCAGAGGGAGACCATGTGTTGGCATACATGAAGCCCTGAAATCAGTCTCCATCACTGAAAAAAGAGGAAGATTAAAAATGTTAACCAATTTGAAAAAAAAACTCCAAATTCAAATTTTTAATGTTTTGTTTTCTTTTAAAAAGATGCCAGCAGAGGGAACACTAACGAAAAAGTTGGCCGCAATAAAGTAAGTTTATAGTTAGATTATTTTATTTTTTTATACCATACTAATATTCTGTAAGGTCTACCTTGATTTATTTAAGTTTACTTGTTGATGGCTATAGTGGATTTTTAGTTTAGTTTAGTTTTGTTTTTTTTTCAATCTTATGGTCATAAATAACTGGAATGAATGATCTTATATATTGGTAATTTGTATATGTTATGATTTTTCTGTAGGATGAACTTGAAAGCTACTTTGTATTTATAATTTTGACTACTATCCCATAGAGTTAGTCACCTGTTTCTAGTCACACATTTTGTAAAGAGTAGAAGTAATATTTTATAAAAATTGTGGTTTTGGCCTTTTGATCAAGGCCAAAAGTTGAAAGTGGTCTTGGTGGTTCAAGGTGAATGAGCATCCACCTGTATGCAGGCGGCGTTCCTTTGTCTTTTATCTGATTGGTTGCTGGGTTTTGCTCTTTTTTGACATTTGACTTACTGGTTTTTTAATTGTTTGATAGGGGTGAAGTCAGCCAGCCATTTGTGATAGAAGTTACAAATGTTTGTTTCATTTACTTTGGGGTGGGGGGATCTTACCATGGGAAACCTTATGCTTATGTTTTTGTTTCTTCTTTGCTTAAAAGTGTAATTTACCTTTAGTAAAATTGAACATTTGAGATGTATAACTTTAGGATTTGTTATTTTGGGGGTTGAACTCAGGACTTTGTACATGCTAGGTGACTATCCTGCCAATGAACTACACTGAACCCTGGTTTGTTTGGTTTGGTCTTTTTAAGACAAGGTCTCATTATGTAGCCTTGGCTGGTTGGCTGGCTTTGAACTCATAGAGGTCTGCCTGTCTGTGCCTCCTAAGTGCTGAGACTAAAGGCGTGTACTACCATGCCCATCCAACCCTTACATTTTTGAGCCAGTGTCTTGCTATGTAGCTCAGTAGGGATGGAACTCCTGATTCTTTTGCCTTTGTTTCCGGAGTGCGGAGCATACAGGGGAACACCTCAACATCTGACCATCTTTAAAAGACTGACGTTTGGGCTCTGGTGAAAGCATTGCCACAGTCTTCATCCTGAATGCCTCCTTAGCCCAGTCTCCTTCTGTGCCCTTGCAGTGTGTCGTTCCACCTCTGTCTGTGGGCAGCCAGCTGCTCACCTACTTTCTGAGTGTGCTAGTGTGTTATGTAAGCAGACTCCCCACACTTCATGGATGCTTTGCTTTCTTGTTTCTGGGGATGGGATGTGGGGCCTGGTTTATGCTAAGCACCTCTGAGCACACTCCAGCCCACTATATCTTCTGTTCTGACCTTCATCAACATAGTTTTGAGATCTGTGCTGTTTGCACCAGTGTTCTATTCTTTGTCAATACTGTTTCTTTGTGTGGAAAATTAGCATTGAGTTTGGTTATCCACTAGCCTTCAATATTCAGGTGATTTCAGTTTTTACCTTTCATGCATAAAGGGATAAAACCATTTGTGTGGAGGTTACTTCTCCTGACAAAGTCCCTGCGCCTTATAGTTTTAGCTTCCTAAAAAATAGTCACCCACCACCCCATCTTTTGTTTTGTTTTGTTTTGTTTTTTCAAGATAGGGTTTTTCTGTGTAGCTTTGGAGTCTATCGTGGCACTCGATCTGAAGACCAGGCTGGGCTCGAACTCAGAGATCCACCTGCCTCAGCCTCCTGAGTACTGGGATTAAAGGCGTGCACTACCAAAGCCAGGCTCACCCCATCATTTTTGCATGGTTTTATGTTCTATCAGTGGTAGGTGAGAACAGATGTCCATGTCCTCCCCAACACTAGGTGCTGCCAGTCACTCAGTTGTTAGCCTTTCTAAAGGCTTCTAGCTGTGCTTTTGTATTTTTCTCATAGGTTAAGATGGCAAGCATCTTTTCATGTGTTTTCTGGGTATTTACATCTTTGGTCAAGTATTGTAAAAACTTCACCTGTTTAGTACTGTCATTTTTCTCGTGTTTCTAAGGGAGAGACAGGCAGACAGGGTAGGGTAGAGTTACATATTCTGCATGCAAAAACTTTGGTGTCTTTTAAAGGATCAAAGGATAAGAAATTTCACATCTTATTGAGGATCCAGTATAGAGTGCTGTCATTTGTTAGTGAGCCTGTAGTGTAGTGGCAATGAAGGCACAAAGCTCTGTTGTCCTGGACTAGTCTCAGAGCCAAGCAGGCCCAGGGATCTGTCAAGAAGGTGTGGTCAGCTCCTCCTTGCTGTGGCTCCCAGGCTCTCTTACTTTAATGTTTGTTTATTTATGTGTGTGTATGGGCATGCATGTGCTACAGTTGGCTCTCTACCACCAAATGGGTATTAGAGGATCAAACTGAAGTCATCAACCTTGGTAGCAGATATCTTTACCCACTGAGTCATCTTGTAGGCTAGGCTCAGCCTTGCTTTTTTTGGGTTTTAATGTTCCATACCACCTCGATGACAAGAGGTTCCCCTTTTCTAGCCCTGGGTGGCAGGCTTACTGTCCGTCCCTGAAGTATCTTCTCTTTTTCCTTTATCTGGAGGAGAATCCAGATGGGGCTTGGCCACTCTTCTCTAGCCTGTTGTTTGCATTAGATGTTCTGGGGCTCATGTCCATGCTTCATCTAATGTAGATGCCAGCTTAGATCAGAGTACACCCTGTAAATGGTCCCCTTGCAGCACCAATGACCTCTAGGGTTCTGGCTGAGACTGAACCATGCTGTTATTGTCTCTTTGGAGGGAGGAGCCTGGCCTTAGTGTCCAGGCTGCTTTCCTCCAAAACTCCTGCTCTCTGATGGGTTCCACTAAAGTTGTGATGCTGTGGATTAGCTGCTAAAGGCAGGTGAAAGCTCTTTCTGGCTTCTGTGTTGTAGGAGAAGCAGAGCACGACTTGTCATTAGTGGTTCATATTGCCCCTTAAGTCTGATGTAAGTCCAGCTCTTACCAAGTCCATTGAAGGAGACCCACCTGCTTGCCACTGATACTCATGTGGCAAAGACCTTTTTAGACAGAATAACAAACCACATAATACCCACGTCAGGTGTGAGGTGAAGTGACGTGTGAAATGTCTAGCTCAGGGGCTGGAGAGATGGCTCGGGGGTTAAGAGCACTGACTGTTCTTCCAGAGGTTCTGAGTTCAATTCCCAGCAACCACATGGTGGCTCACAACCATCTGTAATGTGATCTGGTGCCCTCTTCTGGCATGCACTGTATACATGATAAATAAATAAGTCTTAAAAAAAAAAAGAAAAGAAAAGAAAAGAAATGTCTAGCTCAGTATTGACAGTATTTTGCATCTAATAAATCATAGCAGTTTTCCTCAGTAGGAAACTGTCCGACTGTACATAGGAAATCATGGAGACTATGGCAGTATATGGGGGTCTCAGTGCTGAGACAGGGAGTGGACATGGGCTGCCATCTCTAACCCAGGTGGTATTCTACAATGCAGCATGTCATGCATGCCTGGCACTGTTTAATGCTTAACTTCTTTTTTTTTTTTTTTTTTTTCTAGACAGGGTTTCTCTGTGCAGCTTTGGAGCCTATCCTGGCACTCGCTCTGGAGACCAGGCTGGCCTCCAACTCACAGAGATCCACCTGCCTCTGCCTCCCAAGTGCTGGGATTAAAGGAATGTGCTACCAACACCCGGCAATGCTTAACTTCTTAATAGTGCTCATTTGTGTGTGGGCCTTTTAATTACTTCAGCATCAGGTTGACATCTTTAGGCAAGGGCCAGTAATCATTACAACATCTATTTTACTGTTTTGTCCAAGATTTATTTATTATTATTTTTTACGTATATGGTTGTTTTGCCTGCATGTATATATGTGTGTGTTTAGTGTCCAAGGAGGTCAGAAAAGGATGTCACATCCTTGGAACTGGAATTACAGATTGTTATGAGCTGCCCTGTGGGTGCTGGGAACTGACCCAGGTCCCCTTCAAGAGCAACAAGTGCTCTTAACCACTGAGCCATCTCTTCAGCCCCAGTCTGTATTACCATTAATATTAGTTACTATTTTCTACAGAATCACATCCATATTATATTATTCTTTTGTAAGTCTTGGGCAGCAGCATTGGCCATAATCATTAAAGGTGAAAAGCTCTCTTAGGGAAATGGCTCAGTCAGTTAAGTGGTTGCCTTGCAAGCATGAGGACCTAAGCTTGATACCTAGATCTCTTGTTAAAAAAAAAAAAAAAAATCTGGGCATAGTGGTTGGCACACTTGTAATCCCTGTGTGTAGAAGTGAGACAGGTAGACCCCTGGTACCCAGTGGCCAGACACGCTAGCCTGTATGGTGAGACCTAGGCCAATGAGAAACCCTGTCTCAAAAATTTAGGTAGTGCCTAAGATGGCTCAGCAAGGAAAAGTACCTGCTTCCAAGCTCTACCTTGGTTCAATCACTGGAACCCACATATTGGAAGGAAAGGATTAATTCCTGTGAGTTGACCCCTGCTTCACTTGAGTGTGCCTGCCTCCCTTACCTACAACTAAATAAACAAATATTTTAAAAATATACACAAAAATGGTAGATAGTACTTGAGGGATGACAGATGAGGTTGACTCTGGCCTCCACACATACGTGCACATATGTGTAAGCACACTCTCACATAAGTGAAGAGCAACTATAACATACATAACACTTACTGTGAACCTGACAAAGGGGCCATGTCTGAGCCAGATCAAACCTTTGGATCCAGTAGCAAGTATACAAGTTACAGAAGACAAACGTGCATGTCAAACTTCTTTCTCACAGCCAGCATATTCAGGCTGTTGGAAATAATGCAGGTCCAACAAAGAGACCGATTGAAGGAGAATGGACAAGTAAAAGTGTAATGTATAGGAGTAGATAGGGCTATAGGGCTATTGTAAGAGGTAAGTGGGGATGGTGATGACCATCAGAATGATGGATGGGCTCCTGGGTGGATAGTGGCTGCCAGTGCTTTGGCTCCTGTGTGCTGAATTGTTTGTGAATGTTCAATTTCTAGGTTGTGTGTCTTGCAGTGAAAAAGACCAGTTTTGCTAGTTACAGAGTTGGAGCTAGGATGACATTTCTGATCCTTCTATTGTTCTAGTTGACACATGTGGGTGTCTTGTTCTTACCATTCCCTCACAGTGATGACTCCCAAGAAAGCGTGGGCTTCTTGTTCCTTTTCCTATCTTTATATATTTGTGTTCTTTTTCAAATTACTGAGTCTTTACTTGAAACCGTGGAACTTCCAGTCTGCAAGTCTTATCATGTATTGACTGTAGAAAACAAGATTTTTCTCTTGAGTTTGATGTTAACAAGTTTTACATGATCTTTTTTCCTTCTGTTTTCTGTGTAGACGTAAATTTCATCCTGACCAGAAAAGTATCAACGCATATGTAGTGTTTAAGGATGAGAGTGCTGCTACAAAAGCACTGCAGAGGTAATCCTGCCTGGGGTTGAATGCAGTCTTGTCCTTTGTCCTCCAGAGATGGATTTATTATTTGGCTTCATTACAGCAAATGTTCCATAACTAAGTGCTCATTTTCAACAGCCATTCCCCCTTTGTCTTTATAATTAGAAATGGGGCACAGATTGAAGAAGGATTTCGTATTCGAGTTGATCTCGCATCTGAAACCACCTCTGTAAGTAGAATGTGATTTGTTTAAGAATTTTAACAAGATAGCTAGATATGGTAGCTCGTGCTTGTAATGCCTGCATTAGGAGGGCGAGACAGAAGTAGTGACAGGCCCAGCTGGGTGACAGTGTGGCACTGTGTTTTTCAAAGAAGTGAAAAAGAAAACAAGACAACAACAAGAAGAGCATAACATGAGTCTCATGGAAAGGTGGAGCCAGTGGTGTGAGCAGGAGGAAAGTGGGAGAAAGAAACCTTTGTTTTTTAGGGTCACAATACTGGTGCCCAGAGGGTCATTGTACTCGGGTGAACATTACCTTCACAAACAGGTCACTTTCCATTTGAAGATACTTTTCCATGACTAAATGTTTAGAGAAAGTAAGAGGTCATTGGATCCAGCACCATTTTAACTGACTATAAAGTCAGGAAAGCTGTTATTTGTCTTAGGCTGTTAGCTCATGCCTGTGGCAGTGCTGGGGAGGCAGAGGTAAGAGAATCACATGTTTTGAGCCACACTGGACTGTACAGTGAGACTCTGTTTCAGAAACTAAAAGCAAATTGTTATCTGTTAGAGGTAAGGAACAATCTGAAGACTGTGTGCTTGATATGTGCTGGAGACACATGGGGACAGGTTGTGGCTCTGTTTTATGGTAAATGCTGTCATAAGCACAGCATTTTTTGTCCACTCAGAAGGGTGCACCTGGGGACACACGGACAAGAAAGGACAAGGACAGTTTGCAGGAGAACAGATTTCATAGGAGTCTTAAAATATTTACCTGGGAGGAATATATTTTCAAAGCACAATAGCAGTATCTGTGAAATGAAGGCACTGTGGACAGAAACCTAACTTGTCCAGGGAATGGCAAGAGCTTTGTGTGGTTAATGGGTCTATGGAGGCTAAGAATGCTATTGGGTAGATAGGTTAACAGGCAAACATGAAACCCTGCTTTGCCTCACTTCATGCAAAGTCTGGGTCTTGTCTAAGAGCAGGTTCAACGTTTCAGTGCTAGAGCAATGCGACCAGATTGTGTTGGCAGCTGTGTCTTCAGACAGTGAAGAAGGATTGTAGAGTTAGCCTGTAACAGTGTGCTTCTCTTGGTGTCAGGGTTACTTAGTTGAAAGAGAACAACTGTCAGAGCAAAACCTCTAGCTGGACTGGAGATAAGATACCACAGAGGGTCAACAAACTTTAGTGCTTAGCCATATCTGTTAATAAAATTAACTGCACACAACCACAAGTTTGTTTTTGTGTCTTAAGCAGTTCTTTAGCTATTATAGCAGGATGAGAAGTTGCAATGGAGATCAGATGGCCCTTAGACTCTAGGTGTTTCTCAACCTTCCTAATGCTTCGGCCCTTTAATATAGTTCCTCATGTTGTGGTGACCCCCAACCATAAGATTATTTCATTGCTATTTCATAACTGTAATTTAGCTACTGTTATGAATTGTAATATAAATACCTGTGTTTTCTGATGGTCTTAGGTGATTCCTGTGAAAGGGTCATTCAACTACCTAAGGGGTCACAACTGACAGGTTGAGAACCATTGCCTTAGAGGCTAAAGTGTTTGCTGATTAGCCTCTTCACAGGTAAAACTTGCAAATAGCAGGCCTTCCCTAAGTACTGCTTATGAGTCCTACTGTGAATGAAGTCTCTCCTCCAATGCTAGCCCTCACTTAGTATGCAAAAGGAAGATTAGAACAGACATAGGCAGGTATATGATCAAGTCAGGAAGTGGAGGGATATATGTGGTGGGAGTGGGGTGAAGGGTAATTTTCTGTTTTCTAACACTGTCTGGTTTTTATTTATCATTGTTTTTTTCAGAGGGACAAGAGATCAGTATTTGTGGGGAATCTTCCTTACAGTAAGTTTGTTTAAACAAAAGTATAACTGTTGTTATTACATGATAAGGAAGGAGCAGGGCGTAGTTCAGTCGTCAGGGGCTGACCTACCACGAGTACAGTAGCAACAAAAGGAAATTGAGTAATTCTGGTGTGGTGGCTTAGTGCATATCTTTAATCCCAGCTATTTAGGCCAAGGCAGGAGATTGAATAGTGAAGGCCAATTTAGTAGCTGCCTCAGTAAAATGTAGAGAGAGCTAGAGTTGTTGCTCAGGGGGAGAGTATCTCCCAGGCATTTGTGAAGCTATGAGTTCAATTCCCTTACTACCAGAACCCACACAAACAAAACTTGAATAATTTAATGATTTGCTTATGACCAGCTTTTTGTTTTTTTTCAAGATGGTTTCTCTGTATAACAGCTCTGGCTATCCTGGAACTCACTGTAGACCAGGCTGGCCTCGAACTCACAGAGATCCACCTTCCTTTGCCTCCTGAGTGCTGGGATTAAAGGCATGCGCCACCACCACCCATCACCTTAATAGCAGCTTTAAGAGGCATGCTGTAAAATGCTGTGTTTTCATGGGGCTTTGCTTAACTCAAAGCATTATCAGACCTCTCCAGCTTTCTAAGGAGAGTCCACATGGTTACCTCATTTGTGCTTGGATTTGTTTGTAGAAGTTGAAGAGGCTGCTTTGGAGGAACACTTTCTGGACTGTGGGAGCATTGTGGCAGTGAGGATCTTGAGAAACCCACAGACAGGAGTCGGCAGAGGGTTTGGCTATGTGCTCTTTGAGGTATGGGAGACTAATGCACTGTTGGTCTTTGAAATGCCTGTCAGGGAGGTTGTCAGCTCTGTCACCTTTCAGATAGTGCTGTTATTTGAATTCCCAGGTTCTGACTTAGGGAAGCTAAATTCATAACCACCACCACTGAGTGTTGTAGCTACATCTGTCCCAAGCAAAACATGTTGTAGTTCCTTGTTTGTGCATGCTAATAGTACTAAGTAGTACCTTAGATGTTGGGTTTCAGAGGCACTAAAACCTCTGAATTTTACCTTCTATAGGATGGAACAAACACTTGACCATTAGAAGGAAATTTTAGCCTCTGTACAAGGTTACTTATATTGAGGTCAGTGACTATTAATCAGTGTTTCCTAATATTCTTAAGCAGTAGAAGACCATGCCTACTACTTGATGGCACTTAGGTTTATTTTCATTATTTTTAATGTGTATATGAGTGTAGGTACCCATGCCAGAGATGTGAGATTCTCCTCTAGCTGGAGTTACAAGTGTGAGCCAGTTGGCATGGGTGCCGGGAAATGAACTCCAAATCTCCTTAAGAGCAGTATATACTCTTAAACTATGGAGTGACACAGCTGTCAAGCACAGAGGCTCTTTGACTCTTGATAGGTATTGCCCGGGAGGTTTTAGAAGAGTCTCATGTGCATGAGGTCTCTGTTGCTCTACTGCACTGATCTTGTTACTCTGTCTAGATGTAACTCGCCTCTTTAAGAAGCTTGTAGAGTTCTTTCAACATTCAAAATAATATTAATCATTCTGTGTTGGAATAGGAGTTTGGACTCGTAGAACCTTCTAGGGTCTCTAGTCACACATCTTAGGGATTGTAGGAGAGTTTCCACTTACAATAGAAATTTTACAGAAGGTTGGTCTATGAGCTGTTTTCTGTTTTAATGAAACTGTGAGCATTTGCTGGGGTAGCTTGAGTGCTGCCAGATAGCCTTGAGTGTAACATGAGCAACAGGGGATTCAAGTAGGGATTCTAAAACCATTAGGATTTGACATTTAGGGCACAGAGTAGAAGGCCTTCTGTGTACAAGCTTTAAGATTGACATAGACCATTGAATTCTGACTTTACTGGTCTCATTACATATGGATTTCTGGTCAAAATTAATGTTTCTTTTATTATTATTATTATTACAGAATACAGATGCTGTTCATCTTGCTTTGAAGTTAAATAATTCTGAGCTAATGGGAAGAAAACTGAGAGTCATGCGTTCTGTTAATAAAGAAAAACTAAAACAACAAAATTCAAATTCAAGCTTGAAGAACGCCAATAAATCTAAGCAAAAACTCAGTTTTACTTCCAAAGATTCAGGACATTCCAAAAATGCATTTATTGGAGAAAAGGCAGTTCTCATGAAAAAGAAGAAAGGACAAAAGAAGAAAGTAAAAACAAAGAAGCAAAAAAAACAGTAACAATGACCGAAGCTGCCTCCTTCCTTTCTGAGTGAATCTTTGCAATGAATGTCTGGGTTTTTTATGGATTGTGTGGAAAATGTGGAGATTTCCACAGTGTTTTTTGGGTTTTGTTTTTTTTGTTTTTTGTTTTTTTTTTAATTGTTTTTGTGTTCTTAGAAATGGATTTATAGAAAAATAATAAACCATAATACTGTTTGTGCTTAGAACAGGTGTTTAGATGGTTACTGTGGGAATACTGATTCCAAATGTAGTCATGGTCCCTAAGAAAGACTTGTGAGCTGTTATAATATACACCCATTCTTTACCTCTCGTTTTTGTTTCTTATACTTGTAGTAAAAATCTATGTTTCTGTCTTATTCTGTCCATCTAATAATTGCTAACCAGTAAGAATATGAGATGACTTCTAGTATATAGCCAGCAGCTGGAATGGTCATTACTGTCCTTTACAGGTTGCCTGTAAAGCTGGTTTATAGGAAAAATTCTCTCTCAGGAAAATGCAATCCTTAAATTAGTGTCACTCAGACTTTAACGATGAATGACAGGACAGCATACTGTTGTGTCTTCTAGGGGCTTGGCCTGGTTACAGCAAATGACACTGATCTCATTAAGCTGAGGCAGGGTCCAGGATGGAGAATTGTGGGGAGGGGTAAGCCAAGGAGGCTGATTTAGGCAGGCAGAGTGTATTAAACACATATCCTGTCACGTAGGGAGGCAAGAGGGCAGGATGAGTTTTCACTCATTTAGTTTTGAAATTTCTGTCTTTGGGAAGTCCCATGTGTTTAGAAGGTAGACTTAGAGGCTAGAGAGATGGCTTCTTGCTTAAGAGCATGTACTGCTCTATCAGAGAACCTGAGTTCAATTCCTAGCACAACTGCCTGTAACATAAGCTCCTGGGTCCAACTCTACTAGCCTCCTCAGGTACCTGTACTCATGTATGTAATTACAAACAGACATATACATACAATTAAAAGTGCAGCTCTTAGCAAAGAAAGCTCCATTTCCTGTATCCAAGTCTAGATATTTATGATTTGTTTCTCTTACAGTATTTAGAACCTTTTCAGTTAAATCTCAGCAATATCACTTAAACATTTTTTGCCTAAGTTATATAAAGATGCAACATTAGATTGTGTGTTCATATATAATCTGTGTGCATACGTATGACTCCTGTGAGCAGTTTAAAGCATAGCAGTTAATATAATTTATACATACATGTGTGTAGATATATGTATATGTTTAACTATTGTGTGTGCTCCTAATGTGGATGCAGGTGCATGTATACCACAATTCCTCCCCATGTGGAGATCAGAGAACTTTGGAGTTCTCTTTCACAGCATGCACGTTTACTCACTGAGCCATCTCATTGGCCCAGATGTTTTGGAATTTGTCACTATGTAATTGTTGAAATTTCTACTTTCATAAGCAAAGTATGTGTGTATTACTTATTGTTTAAAACATTAAAGAATATTTTATAGAACATTTTCTTAAGATGCTCTGTATAATTTTTTCTAATATGGAAAAATACTTGTCCTGTTATATCTGATTAAGTATTTACAGCCACAAGACTATGTATGAGTGGTCAACAGTGGTTAGAAGTTGGCTTTTAGTTATAATAAAAATACTTGATGTGTTTTTTAGTCATGAGAATTGTTTTTTTTTTTTTTTCTCATGAACATTTTTTTTCCCTAACTTGGCCTCCAATGCTTTCTGCTGGGCTTACATGTAGTTAAATAAGTCTAGTGATGAGAGGTATAGGGAAGCTTTACCTTGTCAATGTAGAAAATTCTAAGCGACCCCAGCAGAGCTTGTCTATAACTTTATTCCAGGCTGCTTCCAATGCAGGAGTTTGTGGTTGTACATGATTTTCTGTTACCATGTTGCTATCACATTGCATTTATTATACATTAGAAAAGAGTACCCTGTTCTGGCTTATCCCTAAATCATGGCTATCAAGACTACCCACTGTCAGGCTTTCAAGGCCTCTCATGCCAACTCTGTGGCTTTGGGTAACTATTTTCTGTTCTGTGTATCCAAGGCTCTGGAAGTTGAGGTTCACAGGTAGCTTTTGGGGATGAGGAAGGTCACAGTGTGCAGAGTATAAGAAAGCTGCTTTCTATTCTGCTCTGTGGTATGGGCCTTGTCTGACTCCTTGGTTCTGTTCTATCTGCACTATATCCTTACCCCTTATCTCTCCCTAAGCCCATTTCAGGTAGTGCACACATGGCTTCAGGGCTAATTCCTGTTTTGATGGCGAGTTCATGTTCATCCTTAAAGTAGGGCTTTTCCAGGCTAGGTTAGGTCCTCCAGCAACATGTATTATCTGTGTAGTAACTTTGGATACCAGGTTTCATAAGTGCAGGGTACAGTGTTCCACCAGATCGCCTTCCCTTCAAATGCTACCCAGTGTGCGGTGGGTGGGCCTCACCATGACTAACGAACTGACTGGCATTCGTTTGCTCAGATGGAAATCCAGTCGGCAAGGAATCACTTTTGTACAGCTGGTAGTCCTGGGCCCTTGAGTGTTGAAAGCTTATTAGCTGGGGCTCACAGATCCAGAGGCTTAAATTTCCAAGTCCTGAAAACTGGAGATTAGGGTTTCAGGCCTCGAAAACCAGATAGCTCTGGGTCCTGATCGCCACCAACCCAGCACTGGTCAGCTAGTGAAATCCTTGACTCAAAGAACAGGTAATGACAGCAACATTTACTTATGTTATGCCCCTGGGAGAGCCTCAAGACCTTGGGACCCTCATCCTGGGTGGCCAGTGTTACAGCTCTGGAGTCTTGGGTGTCAGTATCCTTGTCTGTCAGGTGTGGCTGTTTCCTGGAACTCTTGCAATGATCAGAAACATCAGTTTCTCATCTTCATCTCCACAGTTTTCTGTCTTCCTTTCAGCTTCTGCTCTTTGCCATCCTACTCTTTCTTGCGTGTTTGCTGCTACTGCCACAGAAAGGTGGTGGTGTGGGCATGGTTGCCACTGTCCAGCCACTCCTCTAGTTGCTAGCTAAAAAAATCAGTTGGGAGAAACCTTTTTATTGGGTCTAATGTTGCAATGCTAGGCACCAAATACAAGATAGCATCTCTCGGCTGACTCAAAAATTGAACCAATGGGTGTCTGGTGTAGACCTGTAACTGCAGCTGCCAAGCTAGTGGAGACTGCTGGAACTTGCTGGCTTATTAGAGAAAACACCAGCTCCATCTTCATGGGGCTGTTGGCCCTGCTTCCAAAGAATAGTTGACAGGTCAGCTGACCTCCTGTTCTGGTTTCTCTGCACATACACATTTTTTTAAAAAATTGAGCTGAACCACCTGGTTGTGCAGGAGGAAGGGGGTGAAGTGCTTGCACCAATTATAACACTTCATGCAAAAGAAGCCTTGTGTTTTACACTAATTCTGGAACACTAAGGGAAGTGCTTCTCATCCTAGCCTTGGTGCAAAGTCATCCAGAGTCTACTATGGCTTTTGATGGTAAAAAAAGTATAGAGAAGTTCAAATACAGTGCCTTCTGGAGCTGGAGTAGGTCTGCAACAAGCAGCTCGTGTTTCCTATAGGTAGCAGGGGGTGTGTTTAAAGCATATGGGTTGCTTCACTTCATTCATAGAAAACACCCATTCTAATAGCACTTAACAGTGCTCTGTAGTGTTCAGTAATGCCTAGAACTGCTCCAGCTCCCCGGGAAGAGGTGTGCCCCTTTAGTACTGACAGGTGTCCTAAGTGTTTGGGGCTTTACCCATTACTAGTTAATTTCACTTAAACACCAGAGAATTGCTACACTTAATATTACAGTTTAATGGTAGCGTAAGGGCACAAATAGGAACAATCTTCAGACTTTTATTGCCTTTCTATTTCCCTCACAGGTTACTTTTTTTTTTTTTAACTATCACTCCGTTTTTCTTCCCCACAATATAAGATGGGGCTACATCATAAATTATTTTGAAATCAGTTACTGTGTCAAGGTCAGCCACAACTTAAAAAGCAAATGCAGCAGGGTGGTGGTGGCACATGCCTTTAATCCCAGCACTTGGGAGGCAGAGGTAGGTGGATCTCTGTGAGTTCGAGGTCAGCCTGGTCTACAAGAGCTAGTTCCAGGACAGCCTCCAAAGCCACTGAGAAACCCCGTCTCGAAACAAAACAAAACAAAAAGCAAATGAAGCCAGGCCTCGGAGGAATGCAGGTTTGAGTCCAGGGCAGACTACACAGCAATTTCCAGGCCCAAAACACAAAGGAAGAGTCTGTCTCAAAAAACGTAAAAAGCAAACGCATGCAATTCAAGTCACAGGATTCCTGAAGGACACAGTGAGGATAGGAGCTGTTCCAGCAGGCTGTCACCTTTGTCTTTGACAAGCAAGGATGGCGGATAAGGTTTTCTGACACCGTACCACAACCACGTGCTGCCACCACGACACAGACCGTGGGGATTAGCGCGTGAGACCAATAAACCCTTC